CGTCAGCAGGTGTGCAGGTCACTGAAATCGGTTTTATTGGCGGTTTCTGACCGAAAACCGAAAACCAGACCGACTCTGGGCGGTTTCGGCTAACCGCCCCAGCAAACCGAAACCGGCGGTTGCGGTTGGCGGTTAACCGACCCTCCCTTCGGTGTCGGCTTCGGTTGCGAGATATGGTCTGTTTTCGGTTTCGGCTAACCGACGGTGCGGTTCGGTTAAACCGAAACCACACCGACTAACAGCCTTATATATCTTGATAGGGATCATTGATTTCATTGATTTTCAAGGGTTGATTTTTTTAATATAGTTATGGGTGGTGGAGATACGAATTTGTGTCTAACTCTTCCTATTATCTTCAAAAAATTATCCTTTGAATTTCATAAAATAAAAAATGAATGAAAAAATATTTCACATATTATTATTTTAAAAATTAAATATTTAAGAAAAAATCTCAATTTATACCATCAATTCTACAAATAATTTTCAATTATTATGAGAACAACAGTTCTTTCTTGGTAAATTTAAAAATATAATAATATATACATTGAATTTTTGTACAAGCATTCGGGTCAAATGGGTTATTCGGGTTATTCGAGTTGGGTTCGGTTTGGTTACGGGTTATTTGGGTTATGAATCATTCGGGTTATAGATGGGTCGGGTTATGTGTTGGATCGGATAACGAGTTCATCGAGTTATGGGTTGATCGGATTACGGGTCAATTGGTTTCGGGTTACGGGCGGGCTTCAGGTGGTTGACTTTTTGTCAAATCGGGTTACGGACGGGTTATGGGTCGGGTGGGTTGAGGGGTTAGTCGGGTCGGGTTCAATTTTGACAGCTCTAGACTTAGTCTTATATTATGTTTCATACACAATGATACTACGTTAGCGAGCGGGTCCTTACTAATAATAAAAAAATACAAGTTTCTAATAAATCTCGATGGATGAAATAATACATTATACATAATTACATATATTATATGTGAATACATATATTATCTGTGAATAAATAGAAAGAATTTAACAAATGGTACAATCTCATTAAGAAGACCAAATGATCCCTAATTAATTGATCCAGGTTCTTATCATCAAGTAGTTCCTGGAAAAAATCCAAAAGTACCACTGTTTTAAAAAAAAATTCCAAAAATACCATCCAACCCCAAAAAATTCCAAAAATACCACCCTTTTTCAGAAACCGCCCCCCCACCCAGCGGTTTGGTCCAAAAAATTTTTTTTTTTTCGACCAACTCCCAACTTCGGTCGAAACTTCAAACGAACGTAACTTTGCACTCGGGTATCCGATCGTAGCGATTTTTTTTTCATTTCGCATAACTTTTCAAGATCTACAACTTTTACTAGGATGAAATTTTTAAAACAGGAACTATTTGTGGATATACGGGACCTTGAGAATAACTTTACCTTTACTTTTCAGAAATCCATGTACATTTTGAAATTATGATTATATTAAAAGTTGTAGATCTTAAAAAGTTATGCGGAATAAAAAAAAAATTCATGACATTCGGATTTTGGAGCACAAAGTTATGGCCGCCCAAAGTTTGACGAAATAAAAAAAAAGGTCGTTCGAGGTGGCAAATGACGTTTTTTTCGAGACGAAGACGGAACCCGACTGTTTGAGACTTGCAAGATCTCAAAAATTTATTCGGATTCAAAAAATGGAGGCCGCAAACATTTTGAGATCTTGCAAGCCGCAAACCGCCGGGTCTCGCCTTTCGTCAAACTTTGGGCGGCCATAACTTTGTGCTCCAAACTCCAAATGTTATGAACTTTTTTTTTATTCCGCATAACTTTTCAAGACCTACAACTTTTAGTATAATCATAATTTCAAAATGTACATGGATTTCTGAAAAGTAAAGGTAAAGTTATTCTCAAGGTCCCGTATATCCACAAATAGTTCCTGTTTTGAAAATTTTATCCTAGTAAAAGTTGTAGATATTGAAAAGTTATGCGAAATGAAAAAAAATCGCTACGATCGGATACCCGAGTTCAAAGTTACGTTCGTTTGAAGTTTCGACCGAAGTTAGGAGTTGGTCGGAAAAAAAAAAATTGGACCAAACCGCTAGTTGGGGTGGCGGTTTTGGGCCAAACCGCCACCCCACCCAGCGGTTTCGTCAAAATTTTTTTTTTTATAACCGCCCCCTAGGCCCGCGGTTTGGTCCAAAACCGCGCCCCCGACTAGCGGTTTTCGACCAAACCTCTGGGTGGGGTGGCGGTTTTTGAAAAAGGGTGGTATTTTTGGAATTTTTTGGGGTTGAGTGGTATTTTTAGAATTTTTTTTTAAACAGTGGTACTTTTGGATTTTTTCCGTAGTTCCTAGCAACTTCTTCTTCCTCTCTCGACAGCACCGGCCCCTCTGTCCTTCGTGCCGGCGGCACAGGCTGAGATTAATTACCTAAATAAATACAGTAATAATTAAAAATAATTCTCAGAATACATAATTTTTATAAAAAATTCCCAAACTACCAAAGTTTGACACGGTTCGAGTTTACCAAACTCGAACTAGTACCGGATCGACTGCCAACAAATCGATCCACGTGCATCGAGGAAGGAAGACTCAAACAGCAAAACCTGGATCGATGACCTGGGCAACGCTCCACCCTAGATCGATGTACCGGGAAGCGATCTAGGCGGTTCGATTGCTCAACCCGCGAAGCAGTGATGAAGCGGATCGAGTGTGGGAAACTCGATGTCAGTAGATCGAGTCCGTGGTAATCGATCTGATTGACGCGAATCGATGACGTCAGGCGCGCACTACCGTCGATCGAGTACTCTAAACTCGATCTAGGCCGTTCGATTGCCAAACCCGCGAAGCAGGGATGACGCGAATCGAGTGGGTGAAACTCGATGCAGTAGACCGAGTCCGTGGTAATCGATCTAATTGACGCGGATCGATGACGTCAGGCGCGAACAACCGTTGATCAAGTACCCTAAACTCGATCTGGATCGTAGATGCACCTAACCACGAACTGCTTTTGACGCGGATCGAGTGCCCCGAAATCGATGCACTGGTTCGATTTTTGTAAACTCGATCCACTCTCCCACATAACCTATAAATACCCCCTCCCATTCCACCAAAACTCACACCACTCCATTCTTCTTCCTCTCTTCCTCCCACCACTCTTGAAGAAAAAAATATGCTCTGTGGTTGCGGCTAAGCCAGTTCTTCCGCATCTGATTTTTTTTCTTTAGTTTGGTACTTCTATCACTCAAAATTGTCGAGATGGATCCGAGTATTTACAATCCTAGATTATACATTCAAGGCGGACCGCGAGTAACCGATTTGTTGGATGAGCAACCTTACCATCGGTCTGAAAGTGTTTGGGCGGCAGATCCAGTAAGCACTTCCTCATGTACTTTTCTTTTTTTAAATGTGATAGTATTCTTCTAATTTTTTTTATAATAATTAATGTTTTTTTTCTACAGGAACAACTTGACGTAATCACCCATCGGTCGCTATCTCGCTTGCCTAAATGGGATGATCGTATCGAGCCCTTCATTGAAAGAGCACGATTGCTGAGGGTGCGAAAGTTTGTGGGGATGGAGATGGACAACAACCTTCATACGGCAATGGTGGAAAGATGGAGAAAAGAAACGCACACATTCCACCTTCTAGAGGGAGAGATGACGATTACGTTGAAGGACGTAGCCATGCTGACAGAGCTTCCAATCAGTGGTTGGTGGAAGGGTCACAAACGTGACAGAACTCAATCTTGTATTTCGAGACCTGACACAAGAACCTGCGTTTATACGGGTCGTAGTAGAAAGTGGTTTGAACGACGCTGGGTTTCAGCGGAACCTTAAATGGGTGGGTCCCACCATAGCGGCGGTCGGAGAACACCTTCAGTTCGGCGGTGGCTCCTCCTACTCTGCAGGCTATGAAGTCGAGCACCTTGAGGTTCTTCCATTGGATCGTTACTATGCCTTGCGGTGGGGATGAGAAGCCGCAGCGGAAGAATTGTAGCTTTTCGAGCGAAGGGCAGCCGGAGATTAAATCAGACAGCGCTTGCTCATTTATTGCAACCACGAATCGCAAAGTTAGGGATTTGAGGCACCTGAGACAGTTGTACGATCCCTCTTTACCGCCGTCGCAGCCACAGCAAGAGCTAGGGTTCGTGAATGATACTACCCTGTACCCGGCCACCCCTGGGAAATCGTCCGCGTTGAGTTCTACCCACCCGTACTCGAAATCCCCATGGAGAAAATTGATACCCAATAATTCGATGAAATTTGATCCACACCCATCCTCGCTCTCCTCGATTTGGATGACAATCTGTTCCACCCAGCTCAAGAATTCGTCGAGGCAGCCGAACCGCGAGACAGGGCAGCCAAATCTGCTGAATTCGGTGCGGCCGTCGTCGAAGTGGCGGTTTGGGGTTGCTCTCCACTGATCCTGCCATTTCTTCGAGAGCGCGCTGGTTCTCGCCGCATCTTCGATCGCCAGCCACGACGCGACTTTTGCCCACAGTTCGTCCGACAACCGGAGGAACGGATCCTCCTCTTTGCGCGAAGAAGGCTATGGCTGTCCCTGCTTCAAGTAATCGTTCAGCAGAGTCAGCTATGCATATCTTCCTAACATTGTCAGTATGAATGTGGATCTCTCTCTGTGTCTTTAGGATCTTCCTCTCTCCTTTTTTTTGGGGCGACCGTTTTAGAATTAGGGGTAATATCGTCTGTTTGGTTAATTTATGGCGAAATTTTTAAAAAATTAGGGTGTTAAATAGGAATCCAGTTTTTTTATACCACATCCCCAGCCATTTTTCTCTCCTCCTAATCTTCGATTGAAACGGCAAATCCTTTCCGGAACTGATACGGTGCCGATCTTGAAGATGCCGTTGACTTATGACTTAGGCTGATGCTAGGGCTTATAGCTGGGCTTTGGGTCTGTTTCTTTGAGTTGGGCCTTGCCCCATTCTCTTCTATAGTTGGGCTTTTTACAATCTATGACACCAATCTATGACAGAGTAGGGTCTAAACGATCATTGAAAAGGCCATTATTAAGCAGACTGTAAATCTCAAACGAACGAACAGACAAAAACAGGCATTGAAGTTATACTTCTTTCACAAGTTATGAAGCAGACTTCAGATTGTGTAAGTAGGGAAATCCGTCTCGAGTGTTTATGATATATATACGTCTACTCCATCACTAAGCCTTAGCTAGTAGTATAAAACTCTAACCAGAAGACACTCGCTCTTCTAGTCATCCTGAACAAAAGTTCTGCGGTTTCTTGGTCCGGAAGAAACCATGTCAATAATTATTGTCACCAAGATGGAGTGCAGATCAATGGGTACCTTCAGATTTGAGTAGTCGAGTTTCTACTTAAGCAATATGTCATCCGGGGAGACATTGGCATAAAGCAACAACACCTGTCAAGAACAAGAATGCCTATCACCAGTTCTAAACATCGTACAGTACGCTTACAGGGACAGACAGACTAGCAAACATGAAAATAGATAGCAAAGAAAAGAGTTATGATGTGGTGACATAAGAGAAAGCTTAAATCATATAGCATAATTAGGAAGCAGAAGCATAAAGCTTTCAGATATCGACATTTAAATAGTTACCTTGGTGTTGTCATCTGGGTTCTTTAGGATTTCCTCGATTACTTGTAGCATTGGCGTAATTCCTGTACCGCCTGCAATTTGAACAGCACAAGTAGTTAGATATGGAGTAGCACATAAGTTATAACAGCTTCTATTGCCACTGATCGTTTAGAATTAACACTCCAAGATGATAAAAAAAAAGGGTCCAAAATTACAGCTATAGATAAGATCTTACCATGCCAATGTTTCTTCATATTTGGTGAGTATCTAATTTTCCCAATTGTCCTGCAGCAAGACAATATTGATGCTGAAGTGAATACACAGTTTTAATCTTCCTTATAATGGCCGTGATTTACAAATAACCTACCCTCTCACCGCGATAGTGTCACCAGGCTTCAAGCTGGCTAGATACTGACTCATTTTTCCATCAGGATAAGTCTGCTTTTTACAATTTTTGGATATGAGAAGCAACTAAGCTCAAGGGTTAAATGCTCTTTACAAGAATTTACAGAAGCAAGATAAGGAAATGTACTTCCAGACTTTTGAAGCAGACATACCTTGACTAATAGGTCGAAATATCCCTAAACTGCTGGATCTGATATTGGAGTGTACCTGAATACAGAATAGACTCTACCATTTAGCCAAAACGAAAACTAAAATACAAATAAGGCAAAGGGGTTTTAATATCAGGCAGTCGAAAGAAGAGATATTCTATTCAAGAAGATATAAGGATAGAAAACAAGAACCAGATCTATTGTAAGATATTCAGATGAACCAAAATGAACAGGGACACTTACGGGCGTATTACATATTTAGTTTTCCCATCAGCAGTCGTCTCTGGATACCTAAATAAGATAATGCATCAACGCACTGATTCTTGGCAGATGAAGAACTTCAAAGTTCTAGCCTCCATATCCATACCACCAAATGCTTCAGAATCTGGTAGTCTAGCCCTGTGTAGGGCTTTTACACACTTCACATTATTTACCTTGTAAGCAGGCATGAAGCAACATGCCTGCTTAAGCAAAGCCCAGCCATGCACTTAACCAAACACCACAACAAATATCATGATATTTAGTATGCAATGGCGGTTGTGCATTAGTATAAATAGAAGCCTTTGTAAGGCTTGGTTGTATTAGAGAAAGAGCAAGAAGCAAAGTAGTAGAGAGTGAGTGGGTGAGCAAATTTGAGAGTCTCTTGTATCGGGCAATAATTGCCAAGTGTTTGCAAAAATAGTTTGAGTGAAATAAAATCCAATTCCTCTAAATTTTTCGATCCTAAACCCATTGTATTTCCGCTAGTGCCCAACAGAAGCAACATGCAAACCAAGCTCCTTAGAAGAATCAATAGTAAACCTGCCATTTCGGTAAGGCAGAGAGATTAAACTCTTCACACAGGGAGTAAATTATCTTTTACTGAAGACAACATTCACATTTCCTATTCACATTAACAAAGAACTGAAAGTCTACAATAAGTTTTTTTTATCCCGAGACTACCTATGGGCCAGATGTTATAATGTTATGGAATTTTTTGGGGTTGGGTGATATTTTTGGAATTTTTTTTTTAAACAGTGGTACTTTTAGATTTTTTCCCGAATACTATGGTGTCGCTGTAAAAAGTGTGGCACCGGTGACGCTAGTTTTAATTGGTCCACGTATTAATGATGTGGCATGTTTGGGTTGGTTTAATAAACGTTGGGCATTGGAAGTGGCCCAACCCACATCTCCCAAACTAACGGAGAAGCATTCCACGTCCAAGCTTTTATAGTTTTATATACTTTTTTTATTCTCTTCTGACTTTTCATTAAAATTAATACAACGGATATTAGCTTTTTTGTTTAGTTTTTGTTTGCAGAATCCGAAAACAGAGAAATGGGGATCGACCAAACGAACAAAAAGTGATTTTTCCCGATCTTCCTCTCCGACGGTCTCTCAAAGCAGTCCCGACGACTTTGTCCCGTCCGTCATCGATCCCATCTCCAGAGTCTATGTTTGTTCCTCCTACATTAATTCTATACAACATAGATGAAGGAATTCGCCACGTGTCTCTGTCTCCGTCGAACCGTACCGCTGGCAAGATAACAAACGACCAGAACTAAGAGTAGAGAGAGTCGCCTTTCCCTCTGCATCGTCTGCCTCGTTTGCGGCGTCCTTGCAATCGTGGAAACCAAGTTATAGGTGGTGCGGAGAGAATTTGGCCATCGGATCGACAGGCTGCTAGGTAATTTGAGGAATGTGTAATCGAGGATGTAGGAGAATGAGTCGGGTCGGGTCGTTCTAATTCCATGTTGCGTTTGTAGTTTCAAGTCATGGATGCTGCAATGAGAGGGTCGATTCATGTTTACCCTTTCTATTTCTGGGTTTTAAGAGCAGCATGGGATTTTGTACCCCTTCAAAAAGCACCCGCAGATACAGCAAAAGACCTCCCTTGCAACATAGAGCACGCCTGTTTGCGAGTGACCATCCTGTTAGCTACTGAAACTTCTTTTTGTCTACCTTATTTGATGTATTCCCCACAGGGTCTTCACCAAATAAGATATTGCTCTGGCTAGCAGCAGGCTGTTCAAAGTTGAAACGAAAGCAATATAATTAAAAAGCCACGAGGACATCTCAAAGCTAAGAAAGTTGGCGACTGAATTACAATCGATTATTGAATGGGGGTAAATGGATACTATTTGGCATGGTATATCTAGAGTTACTTGCAGAATGTCCTTACATTAGAAACTTTGACAGCAGTGCGATATAGGGAGCTGGTTCAACAAACTCCTTGTTCTTCTCCCTGGACTACAGAGAGCGTGCAAGGTGCACTGATCGGGGTGCAGGTTCTCATGAAGGCGCAAAGATATATGTCTGTTGATCTCTTTCTATTCTGATTCTTGTTCTTCGAATCATAATCATTTTGTAAAGTTGCACTCAAATCACGTTGATTAGCCACTTCAGCTACCTAGTTAGGCTACTTAGGATAGGAGAGAATGTCTCCTCTGTGACAAACGAGATTTGGATGATCTCTTTTGTGGCTTGCTGGCCTGGAAATATTACACAATACCAATTTATACCGAGCATACAAAGATCATGTAATACAAGCACAACATGGCGTTCTGCAATTACCAAAACTGAACATTCAAGAGAACTCTATTCACATATAATATGGTTTGAAATCTCAATTCTTTGTACAGCTCAAATTTGAAGGGTGGTTGTATTCTAATAAGAGCAAGCCAGGGAAGAGAAATCGGCGGAGATCAATAAAGCGATAGAATTTGAAATCTTACGTGCTGGAGATATACCGAAGTTCCTCGTCATTAACCTGGCTTCGGAACACCACCTTGCTGGTTATAGCCGACGGCTGGGAAGAAAGCGGAACCCCTAAAAGAAGCCAAGAGGGGAATGCAAATCAGGAACCCTTCGAAGTGCAGGAACTTTGAGCCAGCTGAGATCCGTGAAGGAAAGAAATGGAAACCTGACCCCAAGGGAAGAACAAGCAAACATGTCAAAGCCAAAATTCCCAAACTCAACTAAACCCACAGGAAGAATAATCAAACTTGATCGAGTATCGCCGACGATTGAGTTCGTTGGACGCAGAGGGGAAAAGAGAAAATAACGAATTTTCTTTGAATAGAGACTTACCTAGAAGCCGCCGCTAATCCGTCCATTAACAACACTCTTCCCGCCACGGCAACCGTCCACCACCATAATCACCGACGGAGCAGCAAAGAGACGGAGAGGGAGATGAAGACGCGGGCTAAGTGAGGACGGAGACGTTATATTCCGTCCAGTTTCCTGGCTGCAATTTGGGCCGTCCAATGGGAAATTGGTTTGAATTAAATCTATTCAATCAAGCCCATGCCACCTCACAGCCACGTGGCCCAATCAGAAAGTGCGTTACCGATGCCGCACTTTTTTCGGCGTTACCGTAGTATTGGCCAATAATAAGATGCGGCCGCATGTACGAGTTGCAGCGTGTGGGAACGCAAGTAAAAGGCCTAAGGGTCTGTTGGGCCGACTTGAGCCCGTTTCCTTGAGATCGGTTTGGGCTTTTGCACCTTCTTACGTTCAACCCGCAGATATACGTTCGCGATAAGCCGTCTAACGGTGGATCGGCTTCAAAGTTCAAACTCAGCCCATTAGCTAACTTGGTTTAGCTAATTAAAAGGTTTTGCAAATTAAAACATATATATATGAATAAAATTTCACATCCAGTTAAGAAATTATGGCTCAGATCAGTGGATACTTTTGGGCCCAACACAAGGAGTGTTCGGAGCCCAATCAACGTTCGAGAAAACTGTTTTAACTCCGTGTCTATATAAAGCCTTCTTAAACGTATAGAACTCTTTCCCTCTTCATTTTGAAGTATCACCCACTGTCCTAAACACTCTCTGTACCTTTACTCTCTACATTTCCCGCTGATTATATCATTACTGATTCGACGTTGGAGTGTAGATCACTCCTCAATTTCCCTGCAGCAAACAAAATAACAGTGATGGTAAGTTAGTGCAGATTCTTAATCTTCTCCAACATGACCGTGATTTTCAAAGAACCTACCCTTTCGCCTCGAGAGTATGAGCACCCTTCCAGCTAGCAGTACGCCGACTCATCTCAGGACCAGGAAAAAGCTGCAACAATTTTCCCCAAAGATGAGAATCAACTCAGCTCGAGCCGCTTAAATGCGCTTTAAAAGAAAGAATTCGGCTAAATTACACGTTTGGTCACTCAAATTATATAAATCTTTCACGTTTGCCACCCGAATTACTTTTCTTTCTTATTCGCCACTAACTTTACGAATCGTTTCACCGTAGCCACCCGCCGTCCAATTCCGTTAAAATCATCCTACGTGGCAGTCAACCAAAGCCTTTGACCGTTAGTTTTGATGACGTCAGCTCTATATCGCCGCCTGCGCTTTTTTCTCGCAGCCGCCGAGTCTTCTTCTTCGATTCTAGCCGGGAATCAAAACCTTCTTCTTCTTCTTCTTCGATTCCAGCCGCCGAGTCTTCTTTTCTTTTTTCGTCCTGGTTAAGGAGAGGAGAGAGGGAGATGGTGATTCTCCTTCTTCAGTCGCTCCAGTCGACGATTGGAGGGCAGATTCGTCCATGGAGCAGAGGAATCGAACTCGGAGGGTACTCCTGTTTGTTCTCGTCGATGAGTAGATGGTTAGAGAATATGCAACCAATTGTGGATTCTGGGTCACCGAGGGCAGATCTTGTCGGTGGGCTTTTCAATTTGGGAAGGCTCCGAGTGGGCAAGGTCACCGATATTCAGTGGTGTCCCCGTCGTCTCCTCAATCTTCGGTGACTGGAGATTGCAATGTCGGCGGTCTGGATAAGGGGAGAGAGGGATTGGGGGAAGGCGATGATATTTTTCCGCATTTGAATTTTTATTTTCTTTTTACATTTATTTTATATTTAATTTCCACGTCATCTATCATATAATCGCTGACTGTATTTTCTGTTAGTCACTAACGGAAAACTTAACGGTTGGTATACAATTATACAATTGTCATATCAAAAGTTTTATAATATAAATGACATTTTCATTAAAGGTCCAAGCAGCTGGGAGGTGGTTGGAGGACCAGATCTGGAAAAGAAACGAAGTATAGAATGACAAGGTTGGAAATAATATAAAAATAATTTTATTTTTATTTTTATATTATTTTTTATTTTTATATTATTTTTTAATTGCCACGTCATCAAAACTAACGGTCAAAGGCTTTGGTTGACTGCCACGTAGGATGATTTTAACGGAATTGGACGGCGGGTGGCTACGGTGAAACGATTCGTAAAGTTGGTGGCGAATAAGAAAGAAAAGTAATTCGGGTGGCAAACGTGAAAGATTTATATAATTTGAGTGATCAAACGTGTAATTTAGCCGAAAGAATTCACAGAAGGTTGAAGTACATCCCAGACTTTTGCTGCAGACAGCAGACATATACCTTGATCAGTAGGCCATAGTCTTCCTCAACTGCTGGATCTGAGTCTGGAGCGTTCCTGTACACAGAACAGGTTCTATCTTTTAGCTAAAAACAACATACAATCCAACAACGTAGACGGACTTCTAGTGGCAAAGTACTGTTATTAGGATTCTAAAGGAAGAACAAATACAATGTGACACAATGCTTTGTTATACACAGCATGCTATTTACCTTTCAATGGGGGATGCAGCAACATTCAAACCATGCTTCTTAGAGTAATTCACAGTAAGCCTGCCATTACAGCAAGAGGCAAACATATTAAAAGCTACCCACACTCCCACAGTGATCAAACTAAACTTTAACTGAAGATGCTACATGCCCTATTCACATCATCAAAGAACTGAAAGTCCTTAATACGTATGCTATACCAATACTAAATATGGGCCAGATGATACGATGTTACGGAGAAGGTACTACTGACATTGATATGGACACTGAACATACCTGTACAAATCAATGTTGTGACTAGCAGTTGCAGTGTCTTGAATCTTGAATTCAGTCTGCTTCTTCGGATCGAGAACTGAAAACGAGAATAATAAACAAGCAATCCGCACAGTGAGCTACCCTAATTCACTACTTGCGGTCAGAATTCAGAAACAGACAACAAAACAGAAGGAGAAGGAGGCTTACCAACTTGCGGAGCATTCTCTTCGCTTGGTTCCTTCAGGTGAACCTAGAGCAAATTGCCAAGGCGTTAGTTCCCGATTCAGAAGGCAGAACCGAATAAATCAGAGCTTCGAGAACAGCCGCAAGATCAAGAGTAAGTTCCAGCAAAACATTTCACTATAAACCCTAAGAATGATCCAGAAGTCGAATCTCTCAGAAAGCTCCAAGTATTTCAGTCAAGCAACCACATAACAGCTCTACGCACAAATCAACGACTACCGGTTCAAAATTCACAGCATCAACGGCGTTAGTTCCCGATTCAGAAGGCAAAACCGAATAAACCAGAGCTTCGAGAACAGCCGCAAGATCAAGAGTAAGTTCCACCAAAACATTTCATCTATAAAACCCTAAGAACGATCCAGAAGTCGAATCTCTCGAAACCTCAAAGTATTTCAATCAAGCAACCACAGAACAGCTCGACGAACAAATCAACGACTACCGGTTCAAAATTCAGAGCACCTACGAGTTCGAATCTCTAACATGAAAGCGATACATACCTCAACCAGTCCATGAACTGTAATCGGAGTGTCGTCGTAGCAGAAGTAGGCCACTCCAGTCGCAGCAGCAACTGCAACGCCGATGGGGAGACGGAGTCGCTTGAAGAGTGATCTTCCTCCTCCGCCACCAGGAGACGCCCGAGTAGGGGTGGCGGATTTCGAAGCCAGTCGACGGAAGATCGCAGACATTTTCCTGAGATCGGAAATGAACAGCAACGGGAGTGAAGTGCAGAAATCACAGGCGACGAACGGTGCTACTTTCTTTCTTGGTCTTGCTCAGTCAGTCACTCTTCCTACTGGCTACTACTACTACTACTCCAGAGTCGGCGTTTGAGATAATAATAAGCTGCGGCAGCGCCCACGAGCATTAGCGTGTGAGAGCGCACTTAAAAGGCATAGCCCGTATCGATTGAAGACCGGTTTGGGCTTTTTGGCACTTCTTAGATTCGGCCTACAAACAGACACGCCAAGCCGTATAACAGTGGATTGGTTTGAAACTCGGCCCAGTAAATAGCTTGGTTTAGCTATTAAAAGGTTTTGCAAATTAAAATTTATATATTTATAGATTGATTATGAATGAAATACACATGGAATTAAATCTTATCGTAACAATGATTCCCACGCCAATATCAAAATATTTGGGGCATGGGATTTATGATTTACTAAAGAGAAAAGGCTATCAACATAATCATCGGTATATTTTAGCAAAGTATAAAATTCATAGAGTGAATGATATATTTCAAATTGATAATTAAAATGTACGCATTAGAAACATTGTTGTAGAACTCATAAATTTTTTTGTATTAGGAATAAACTTGAATGCTTAGAGCAGCTTTCCCACAAACACCTACCAACCAGTCTTTTAATATAGCAACACAAGTGATAACCTTTCTTTATTTTCAAATTGTACATTACCAATAAGACGATCGAAATATTATGAGAAAAATAAATTAGTGACTTATAAATCAAGTGATAAAGTATAAGAGTTGACACGGTGTATCATAACTTATAAAGTTCAATTCTCACAACCTATCATTCTAAGGAAATTATTATAGTGAGTAATTAAAATATTGAAAAGTCCGCCAGCAAAGGGGCGCAGACTTTCATGTCGTAAAGATTGATCTTCTCCTCCAAAAGCAACTCATAATGCGCGTTTAGCCCATCATATCCCCCCGTCTCTGACTCCATCTGCCTTATATCACCAACTGACCAAGGTGCCATGATAGGCGCATACTCACTTGACCACTCCTCCGGCACGGGCTTCACATAGAAGAATCTATTAAAGCATGGCTTGTCCAGCTTTGGCGAGCCGTAAACATAGCCGCTGTTACGACGATCGCGTCTCTTCACAAAAATCCCAGTAGCTTTCTCGGGCACCCTCATCTTGTAACACTTCCTGAAAAGCCCGTAAGAGGGCGGGATATTGCGTTGCTTGCAAGACAGGCGAAACATACACGTATGCAAAATAACAGAAGGAGAAAAGCGTGCAAGAGAGCACTTTATGACGCGTAGAAGAGCACATAAGAGCGGCTCAAGGGGAAACTTTAGCCCCATTCTCCAGTACTTTGTATAAACACCAATCCAGCTGTTTACCCATAAAAAATCAGCTTGTACCACATCGATTAATTACAAGGGGATTAATGGATTAATAAGGCCAGCTCAACATTAATGATTAAAAGAGCCAGCTGGGCCTAGTTGGGTTAGATTTTTGGGCCTAAGTGGCCAACCCCCTTCTCCTCTATACGATGGCCGACCCGTCTCCGAGGCCCCCATAGTCGGACGATGCCTCCACCCCTTAGTATGAAATTTGACCTACAAAAACTAAGTCTTGGAAACAAGGCGACACAATGGGGTGCCAAACGACCGGGTACCAAGCCTGGTATCAAATAAGAGGGTAAAACAAAAGGGTATCAAGCCGACAAGGCAGGTCTGATACCCAAGTAAGAAATTTGGCTAAGTATGGAAAACAAGGCGACACAACGGGGTGCCAAACGGCCGGGTACCAAGCCGGATACCAAATAGGAGGCCATCCAAAGGTTAAGTATGGGAAACAAAGCGATACAACGGGGTGCCAAACGGCCGGGTACCAAGCCGGGTACCAAATAGGAGGTCATCCAAAAACTAAGTCTTGGAAACAAGGTGACACAACAGGGTGCCAAATGACCGGATGTTAACGACGGGGTATCAAGCCGGCAAAGCAGGGCTTGGTACTTTGACATATAATTTGGCTAAGTATGAAGCAAAAGGGTATCAAGCCGACAAGGTAGGCTTGATACCAAAAGATATAAAAATTGGCTAAGTATGGAGCTAAGGGGGTACCAGGCGGGCAAGGCGACCTCGGTACCAAGACCCCTACAAGGTACCAAGCCGGCATGACAGGCTTGGCAGCCAAGCAAGGCGACAGGGTACCATGACCCCAAGGGGGTATCAAGCTTGCAAGACTGACTTGGTGGCCAGGCAACAGGGGGCCAAGCCAGGTACCAACTAAGAGAGTCATACAAAAACTAAGTCTGGATATCAAGCCAACAAGACGGACTTGATAGCCAGACATCAGGGTATCAAGCCAACAAGACAAGAAATTCGACTAAGGCATGGTGACTAGCTGAGGTGGCCACCCAACTATGGATGGATCGACCAGGATGCCGAGCTCAGCCCTTATGAGGCCATATGGAGACAAAGTCCAAAGACTGGATTGGTAGAACCTTCACGGGGTACCCAACCGGCAGGGTGCAACTTACCACTTGACGAGGCTACAAAACCTAAATATGGAGACCAAGCCACCAGGACTGACTTGGTAGCAAGGGGTGTCAAGTTGATTACATGGGCTTGGTGGCATGTCAGAAGGTATCAAGCCGAGGAGACGGCTTGGTAACAAACAACAAGTTAATGAGAAGGACTTGGTGTCATGAGGTGGTAGCGGACTCAGGAGTGGGGAGTCATCAAGCAGTCGAGGGTGAAATAAAGACCTCATCATGGTTCATAGAGGCTAAGGCAAGAGCCTCAACCTCATCCAGTCATGCTAGCGGTTACAAAGGCAGTTACCAAGGCAGTTACACTTGATGTCTATAAATAGGAGAAATTAAAATTGTAAAAGGGTTCCACAACCAACCATTTGACACACTATGTCAAACTTTTATCATTTCTCTGCGAATTAGCCATAACCCTTAGTTTTCGGAGCCCTCACTGAACCTCCATAGGAGTAGAGTTACATAACTTAGATTATTCCTAAAAACCATCAAAAACATCAAACACCCTCGTTCGAACATTGTTCGGAGAGGTGTGAACCGTGTTGATTGTCATTGTTCAAGAAGTCAAAGGTGCATTCATTGTGTTTAAACACAAGTTTTTCCTTGCCGGAAAATAAATTGGCACACCCGGTGGGACTCTATGTGTTTGATTTGATGGCTCCACGACTGAGAGAACAGGAAGGTGATATTTCACCAGGAGTTGCGAAGGAGTTGGCGGCCAAGTTCAAATTTGTCCAAGCATCAGTAAGTGTTGTCGGAAACAATGGCATGATTGAGCTTGCCACCAGCGGCACCTTGTGCCGATGTAACCACCACTGCCATGTCACTCCGCTCAATAATGGATGATAACTGCAAGATGGTGATGGAGAACCGTCAAGTGATGGTGGAGATCCATCGATTAATGGAAGAGAGTTTGAATGGACTTGTTAGAAATTCACAACAGACAAGTCTAAAACTTGCTTCTTTTAGTTCTATGTTAGATAGACGTTTGGATGAATTGTTTGAAGCAACTACGAAAATACATATTGCTTGGATAAGCTTAAAAAATATTTTATAGAACCAGTGGTGCGAGAAATTTCTTTACCAAAAAATGGTATAGATCCGCCACCAAGTATTGCTACGGAGTATACAAGTATCCTGTTCTCCGGTGGCCGGACTACCCAGCCACGGTCAGGGAACTTACCTTCTCCGGCAATGAGTCAACCACCTCTTCAACAAGGCGGTTATGACAAGAATATTACTAAAACATTCACCACCCATGTAAAGCAACCGCCGCCTGTGCTGACAGTTACTCTAAAAACTATCTCAAAGGCTAGACCATTCTTGAACATGACAGTTGGTGGAGGGTCACTAGCTATGGATGTGCTACCACAAGTTTTCCCAACCTCGTTGCCGTCGATGCTTAAGCGGTCTGGTGGATGCAAACCACCAGGGGGCAGGAAGAGGTGCATGGAAGCCTACCATCTGACAAGATGAAGATGAAGAGTCAGGGTGAGGGGCAAGTTGATGTCAAGAAAGGTGAACAAAATGGTGTGTCCAACAAAACACCATATTTGTTTCCTAAGGATGGCATGGGGGCATATCTCCATCTCTATGCAGTGGGCAGGGGGGCATGTCATCAGACATAAAGGATGGAGTGAGTGGCAAGTTTAAGTGGGTGTTGCCTACCCATGCCACCTATGATTTTCATAACTTCGACAACGTGTCAAAGAGTGCACAAGGAGGCGAGGCCCCTTGTACCATGCCACCCATGAAGGGTCGACAAGGGGGCATATAATCAACCACAAACAATAGAAAGATACACATACCCAAGAAGCCACAACAAAACCAAGCCACACATGCTTGTAGTAAGCATGGTAGTGTAGTTGAGTTTGGCAAAGGGGGCACGTCAAAAACCATGAACAAGGCTATGGGGGGCATGTCTCCAACCAGTGGAGAGGGGGGCATGTCACCGACAGTGAAGAAACGAGTAGAGAACAAGTCTAGGAGTGTTCATCACATCCAACCCACTTAAAAATTTCTAAGTATGAGATGGTGCTAAGGGATGGACGAGGAAGCAAGTCCATGCCTAAAGCCCCCAATTGCATGCCAAACATGAATGGCAAACAAGAAGGCACGAATAAGACATCTCGACACACACCAACCAATCATGGTCCTATAAAGAATCAAGAGTTGTTATGTGTTAAGTGTAAAAACCATGAAGACATGGGTTTTAGAAAGAGTCAAGTTGGCCACAAAGGTGGTCGTCAACTCTGTAAGTCCAAACACCAACCTTCTCAACCATATGGGAAGAGTAAGCATGTGCCAAGTTGGGGTAAACTAAGACAGATGGCAACTCTTGGCCCCTTTGATGAGTCGAAGGAGTTGAAAATGTCTAGTGCACCATCTAGGACGAGGCAAACACATCGGGTTCAACATCAACCCAACATGTCTAGTAAGGTGGCCAAGGCAGTGGATCATGGGACCCCTTGCAAGCCCACTAAGACATGACAAGTTGAGAGGGTGCCATCCATTATTAAGTTGGAAAATTTGAAACCAACACCAAAT